AGGGTATATAGGCGGGTACCTTGATGGAGTATATAGGCGGGTACCTTGATGGAGTATAAAGGCAAGTACCTTGATGGAGTATATAGGCGGGTACCTTGATGGGGTATATAGGCGGGTACCTTGATGGAGTATATAGCCGGGTACCTTGATGGGGTATATAGGCGGGTACCTTGGTGGGGTATATAGGCGGGTACCTTGATGGGGTATATAGGCGGGTACCTTGATGGAGTATATAGGCGGGTACCTTGGTGGGGTATATAGGCGGGTACCTTGATGGGGTATATAGGCGGGTACCTTGATGGAGTATATAGGCGGGTACCTTGATGGGGTATATAGGCAGGTACCTTGATGGGGTATATAGCGGGTACCTTGATGGGGTATATAGGTGGAGGGGTCCTGGGAGTGTATATTGACTGGTTCATACAGGCCGGTGAGGTGTCTCGGGTAGTATTCAAAACCAGTGCTGGGTTTCAAAAAATATTTATTTTGTCAGAATTGCGTTGGACAATCTCCATTTTATTATAATAGTATGTAAGTAATGTTTCAAATACCTTGATACTAGCAAACAACGAAATGCACCAACCAATAAATTTTGAAATATTGTTAAAAAAAAGTTGTGAAATAGTCTGTTGCGAGGTCATTTTATGCACTCGGAACACACCAGGCACATGCAAAACTATATCTCGGATTTTTTCAATTATTGTTTAAATTGATATTGAAACAGGAACTGCTTCCAGTCTATGTGGGCATAAACGCCCAACAAAACGAACCGATAATTCTTCGATCACTATTTCTAACTTTCCATTAACAACACTGGACTTAAACCAGACATGACCCCCAACAATGGCGATACTGAACCTATTTTAGAACACCACCGTCTGAGAATTTCTTCCAAAGATTATTTCAAAGGCCCACCAACATGTTTCTATTTTCATAATTCCTACAGAAGCCAACCATGTTTTAAACTAGTTTTACTCCTTTCATCCCCAGACGCCCCTCGGGTGTTCTTTGATATAAGGTTCTATGTAAATCAATCAGGTTATTGTACACGAGGGGAGCGGGATCCCAGTTTGTAAAATCATTTCCGACAGTATTCTTTTTCCCAGCGGCCATTAGCAGAATACCAAAACTTTTGTACAAATGAGGAATACTGTCGAGATGTATTGTGTTTCATTGGGGTCTGTTATTAGGTTTTTCACGTGGGTGTGCAAAAAACGAGTTGTCATAAATGGCTCTTATCTTGTTGACTGATTTCGGTTTCGGTTGGAAAGTGTTAAGTTAAGAAAACTTTCTGTACTTCATTCAACTATTCAGTTAATAACTGTCGTATTACATATTTTCTTCGTGCATTCACATGAACTGTTACGTAAGCGTATTTTCTTTTTCTGTCTAGGGTTTTGTCACAATCACCGCAATTGTGTGTGATTTCGCTTATATGTGTTCTAGAGTTCACAGCTGAGTACACATCGCGCTAAATCAGATTTATCCTGACCAACAAAACTAGGGATCTAGGGACCCCCAATGACTAATTTCAAGAGTCCTTACTGGAATTATGAGGATCCTGTAAAGTAATGGAATCGTGTACTGTACTGAAAGATTTGATTACGGTAAAGATTACAGGACCTTTATATTTCTTATTAATTATTGTGCTTCGGGACACAATATTTTTTTTTCTGCATCAATTCTACTAGACACATGTGCGTACTGGACGCACATTGCTGCGTCGCGTAAAACCCTGATTTGAATAATGTAGCATATGAATATTGCCTGAGTGAGTGAGTGAGTGAGTGAGTGAGCAAGGATATATATTTCCCTTACCCCGGCTCTATATATTTACGTGTAGTTTATTCATCATCAGCATCAAATACGATTATATCCCACTAAGATCAGAAATTATGTCAATGTGTGTGATATCATTCACATTTTCCAATTTGACCCTCACTGGCCGCAATTTGGAACTGATATTTATAACTCGATAAATAAATATTATTAATATTAAAGTGTTTTCTATACATTTCTTCTTGGGATGATTATAGATAAAGCAAAGTGGATTTATCTGCCGCATGGTATGGTGCTGAAAAATATAGAAACAAAATCTGGGTGACCCTGGGATTCGAAACCACGCTCACAGGTTTGGGACCCGCCCAATGCACGCAAAGTTCGAAGTCCCGTGCCTCCATGTGACACACGTACACTCTATCACAAAAACGTGTTCTCCTTATAAGTCTGGTTCAACAGAAAAATAAATTCCATTAGTGTAGAAAACACACAAAAAAGCCTAAAACATGCATCAAATTATTTTTAAACAGGTCAAATACAACACCTTTCAATACCCCTCCATTAATATTACGGACATAAACCCTGTCATTAAGAAGATGGTTACATAGTCACGAGGTGCACGTGCAACGCAGGTCCACGAGTAACATGTGCAGCAAACAGTAGGATCTCTGTTCTTGTTCACAGCAGATGTAATTCAAAATTAACATATAGCTTTTATTAGGTATAACAAAATCAGTAATTGCACTATCGTGTCACTTGATTTTCAGGTTCATCGATCACTTGATTGTCTGGTTTGTTTTCAGTGATCCATTCATATAATTTTCACCGCTATTTTGCCCTTTACGCCAAATTTTAATCTGTTTTGGAGCATAATCTAGACTGATTTTTCTCTTTCATTGACAATCCATATTTACATGTACATATCAAGGATCGCACTGTGGACCAGGTGTTAATCATATATCAGAGAATCAGCCCAACAGATATTCTAATGAAGGATTAAATGTATTGAAATGAACGAATCAGCAAAAAGACAAAAAGAATTAACACGGTGTATATTTTCTGTAGGCAAAACATCACTGGTTAAAAAGGGCGTATGAATACAGAATAAGTAACTTGAACGTCGCCTGTCAACCACTTTTGTGCGACCTAACAATAACTGCGTAGTTATTTTTCGAGATAAGCGATAACAGTGCAACGCCCATGCAGTATTAAATAACATTTTGATAAAGTGCAAAAACAAGTATAATCAATTGGGAAACATCTGCATTCAAAGGGGAAAATCTAGCGTCCTCATATTAAACTCGGCGAGTGTTTTCGGGAAGGGAACTCGAGGGACGAGTCATGGCATGTGGCAGTGAGCTATTTGTTTTCACACGCGCCAGCAGATGGTTTGAAACTTTTGAAATATTGTTGCAATTACCGTTACAGTAACACCGCGGTATTGAACAACGAGATAGCGTTGCATCGAGTGGCATTGATTAATGACACGGCGGAGTTCCAGACTGTCCACTTGATCTTGTGAATGAAAGGAACGGGAATCCTTAAACAATAAACGTTTTTCTTTCAAGCGATGTGGTTAACAGAACAGCACGGATTTCTCTCTATACCCAAGAGTTATTGATGCATGTTCTTCCATGTATGACCTGATGTTATTTTCTACAGTTTCTTCTTTATATATTTATTTTATTATCAGATTTTCTATAGTTTGCACTATATATTGCACTAGGAATTTGTCTTGTTTATTCTACATACTACCTTAGGTTTTTTAAAGTTTCTTTTATATATGACCCCTGGATTTTGTATAGTTTTTTCTATATATTACCCTAGGATTTTGTATAGTTTCTTCTATATATTACCCTTGGATCTTGTATAGTTTCTTCTATATATATTACCCTAGGATTTTGTATAGTTTCTTCTATATATTACCCTAGGATTTTGTATAGTTTCTTCTATATATTATCCTAGGATTTTGTATAGTTTCTTCTATATATGACCCTTGGATTTTGTATAGTTTCTTCTATATATTACCCTAGGATTTTGTATAGTTTCTTCTATATATTACCCTAGGATTTTGTATAGTTTCTTCTATATATTACCCCAGGATTTTGTATAGTTTCTTTATATATATTACCCTAGGATTTTGTATAGTTTCTTCTATATATTACCCTAGGATTTTGTATAGTTTCTTCTATATATTATCCTTGGATTGTGTATAGTTTCTTCTACATATAACCCTAGGATTTTGTATAGTTTCTTCTATATATTACCCTAGGATTTTGTACATAGTACATATATATTATATACATATATATATTTTATATATAAGCAGCGTTACACCAAACACACACACTCTTCACAATATTACCCTAGACAATCAGTGTCGTTCCTTCCCTACAGTCCCCAAGTTTACCTTTATCTTATAACTGTCAGACCATGAACAACCTGACAGTGAGGAAATAAGTAACAGTTCCCATAAAATTCTCGTCTATCGCAATATAACAGATCTTGATAGTGATTAATTGACCCAAATAAAGTGAACTTCAGTACCATCGGATTCTAATTCCGTAATTGTCTGGATTCCAGTTTTATCTCACGCCTGAAGACTCTGTCCAGTCCGCTTCTTTCTCTCACGAGGGTAATATAAAAGCTACACCTCTCGCCCCAAGCTTTATATTGAATGACCCCACTTTGTGTCCACAGAGTGTTGGGGGTAAACTGGGAGTTTTCAGACTGAGCAAATCTCAGAATAAATGACGTGGTTGTCGCGAGTGGAGAGTCAATCTAGCACGGTCGACGGCTGATCTTCCCAAATGACTAATAATCTATGATCACTGACAGCGTCCATAAGCGAATCTGTTTACTCTACAGTGGATGGTGCCAAAAGGTTAATACCACTAGCAGCAGACAGAGCTTCTTAAGCCGTTTACCGCTACCGTACCTAGACTCGAACTGGCCTTTAAACCACGGTATCATAAATCCTGTTATCTTAGACTGGTGCGGAATGGGAAAATACAAATTTAAAGCTCCATGCAATCATTTTCTCATCGTCATGGGACTCGATAATCACCGCGTTTGAATTTGATCAGTAAAATGAAACTCATAACGTTTGTGATTTATCCTTCCTCACGCTTTGGGTTTATCGCATTCACACATCATCAACGTATATAGCCTCGACGCCACTTGAACAATTTACAACATGACGCTGAAGATCCTGTGCTTACCTGCCTGTCCAGTATACGTCCACCAGCGTGACCACAGGGCGTCCGAACCTGGCGAGATAAAGACAAGCCGTTTAGTAAAGCTCTCAGAAAAGAAAAGACAAATTACTTCTCAACGGGAGAATGCCTGGCTCGGATCAAAGGTATAAGGACCCCATTAAGAACGGGAAATGAACATGACACACATTGGCTTCGAGAGTAGCAATTCCAGGGGGCGTCTGAAATGAACTTCCGGTCATCAGAAGGGTTGCCGTGCTTCTTTCATGCTTTTTCTGCAGTTGGCAGATTGATTACGATTGAAGTTATCGAAGAATATTTTGAATAAAGTTAAGAACTTTTGTGAGCTTGAAACTTTTTTATAATAACTTTTCCCATGATGTCTAAAATCTTGCATTATTGACTTTTCATGTGATTTTGTCAAAGAGAGTTTTCTTGAAAAACTGGTTTAATGCCTGGCTGACATATTGTCTTTGTGCGAATGTTGAATATTGCCCTTGTCTCCCAAGGAGAAAATGCCGACTCAGTGGTTGGCAGACAAAACGTCGTTGTTGTGGCGCCATGATCTGGTACAGTTGGGCAGGTTTCTAATTGAAAAACACCGATAAACAGTTAGTTTAAAGATAAATTTACCTTTGTTTCATAGCGTTGCTTTTACTCTTAAACACATGTTCATAAAGTGAGTATGGTTTTACAACGCTTTTTACACCATTCCGCCATTATCACGGCAGGGGACAGCAGAAATTGTCGTCACACATTGTACCCATGTGGGAAATCCAACCCGGCTCTTTGGCGCGACGAGCGAAAGCTTTAACCACATGGCAACCTCACCGCCCCCTTTGTCGTATTCTGTTCAGTGTAATTAATATTAACTTTACATTTCATAGGAATGTAATATCGGATCCATGACGTAGTTCACTCGATGGGGTTCTCATCCGGATACATATGCGTCAAGAAAAGGGGTGGAATTAAAAATAGTCTCGTTTCACTAAATATCCTCGGGTGATAAAGTACTTGAGGATATGATGTCACGGCGTTGCAGGTTAATTGATAGTTGGGGAATGAGAGAAGTGATGCAGGATGTAGATGTCTGCAACTGGTGAAAATTGTTGAAACAATGGTGGAAAACTGGTGAAATCCAGTAGCACAGGTATGGTGCTGGCTGGTCAAGGATCATACGGAGAGATCAGAGGATTAAGGGACGCTACTCTGGGACGCTACACAGAGGATTTGGCCATGCGTACTCCCAAGGATGGAGAAGTCATACCTAGGACAAACATCACCTGTCTGAAATGACTTGTTGCAAGGTAACAGTATCACACCCTAAAAACCCCAGAACGCACACCTACAAACCAACCACAGCCACACCTTCACCTACCTACACCTACACCTACCACCCAGCCAGACCCACCACCGAGCCACCCACATCTTCCTCTAACACGCAACCGCAACCACACCCACACCTTAGCACCTAGCCACACCCACACCTACCACTAAGCCACACCCACTCCTGCCACCCAACCACAGGGACATCTACACCCCAGCCAGCATAAAAATACCTACCACCCAGCCGCACCCACAAACTACTTGTTAATTAAACGCCAAAGAGTAGACATATAAACAAGTTATCAAGTTGTCCTAAATCTAATCCTTCAAAAGACAAGTCCAGCAGGTGCCGAGATTTAACCAGATTTAAGCATATCCGTATTTTCTCATAATCACAGCAAATAAAACTGCCCAAACCTCTCCCATCTCCCTGAACATAGCGGCCAAAACAGTGTCTCAGCACCAAAACATTCAACTTCCCGCTATAGGCTTCATAGTTCCAGGAAAAGCATGACAAAAACCTGTTAAACACTCAGCATGACGCTAGCTGTAAAGGAGCGTTAGATAATGCATGAATTTCCTGCTATAAAATGCGTGTATTCTACACAGTGAAAAGCCACACATCGTTTTTCAACACGCGGTACAGTCATAACGCCATTCTTGGCACTAAGGGAACACTCAGATGGCCTCATTCCGGGGGGCTGTTACAGCACTAGATCTCTCGTAATCTTGAGTCCCGTCAACGTAAATATAAAAACAGTTTCCATTTAATACAATATCACTCACGCAGTCGCTTCAGCCTGTTGTAACGGTATTTTTTGGCCTTATTACAAAGCATGTTGCAAATGGCGAGAGCTGGTGTGGGGAGGGAGATTGGGGTGGGGAGAGGGAAGGGGGATAGATCTTCGGTGCAATCACATTTAGAGGACTGCGAGAAGCTGGGGCATCTCACATCCGATATAGTGGCAGATTGAGATGTTTAATTTAATCTAAAAAAACAAACATCAGTTTTTTCATGGTGTTAAAGAATGTCTCCTTAAAATGGAAATTTTAGCCGGCTAGTCAGCATCCTTGTTGCTATACATTACATGTTTCTCTACCAGAGCCGGGCTGCTAGTTTCAAATGAGTGAGTCTGGTTTTACGCCGCTATTAGCAATATTCCAGCAATATCACGGCGGGGAACACCCTAAAATTGAAGCTTTCTAGCTTGGGATACTGACCAACTTTCCCGACTTAACCCTTGCATCCATGTTTTTGTTCTTTATCTGAGGTCCCAGTAAGTTAGTGTTGTTTGTTTGTTGTCTAACGCCGCACTCGGCATTATTCCAGCTATATGACGGCCGTCTGTAAATAATCGAGTCTGGACCAGACAATCCAGTTATTAATATCATGAGCATCGATCCACGCAGTTGGGATCAATGACATCCATCCACCATGTCAACGAGCCTGACCACCTGATCCCGTAAGTCGCCTCTTACGACAAGCATGGGTTGCTGAGGGCCTATTCTATCCCGGATCTTCACGGCATTTCTGGTGTCCCACGCAGTAATATTTCTGGAATATTGTAAGCAGTGGCGTAAAACTCTACTAAGAAGAACCATACGTAAAGAAACCTTTTATTGGCTATTACACTAAATAATAATATCCAAGCTACGTGAAAATAACGCACTCTCAGCGGTACGTCGTGAAACAGATTTAATTTTGAGAGATGTATAATAAAACGCTGGCTTGCAATAACATATTTACTAAAACACTAATATTCCTCTAAGGCACAAATTGAAAGAAGTAAAGCCGCGAAAAGGCGAGTGGTAATTTTGCGTTACCCTGATTTTAATTATACCATGGTGAAACAGATGTGATAAAGCCAGAACCGCGAAAGAGCAAACTCTCCAGAGAAATAAATATTATTTCCGGGGAATGGTTTTAATATCCGCCTTTTACGCTAAGCAACAGCCACGGCTTGAAAGACCAGGAAATTGTAATCCATGGGATAGACCTTGGACCAGGCCACTGGTTGCTCAACCATCACAAGCTGGCCATTGTTCTCTAAAGCGGCAAAAATACCATCGACAAGAACTAATCACTTAATTCCCTAGGAAAAGGTTTCTCATCTATCAGTCTTGACAATGATCAATTAAATGGACTCAGTTTTTATTGTTTGCTTTTAGCGGTGTACATGTATGTGGTATCTAGTATCGTTAATAAAAAGCCTGACAGAGTTCTATGTGTCGTTAACACGTGTCTGAAAATTATACTTAAGCTGCAAACGGTTTGGACATGTGTGCGCATTGGTAGACACCGCGCAACAGAAATGTTTTTAACCAAACAGGCGGCATACCGAATGTGAATTAATACCATACAATCATGCTGTGCATACGATTAGAATAGACTTACCCTTTGTCTCTGAATATGAAATATCAATTTTTGATAGAAACCAGCAACTACATATAAACTGAAAAGGTGCCTCAGTGAGATGGGAGACTGAGAACCTTAAGACAATCAGTATAGGGAATTGCCGCAAGGGCTGGGCGAAAGGATAAATGATATGGTTGAAAGACAGACTTGTTTGTTTGTTATGTAACGCCGCACTCAGCAATATTCAAGCTATATGACGGCGGTCTGTAAATAATCCAGTCTGGACCAGACAATCCATTGATTGACAGCATGAGCATCGATCCCCGCAATTGGGAAACGATGACATGCATCAACCAAGTCAGCGAGCCTGACCACCCGATCCCGTTAGTCGCCTCTTACGACAAGCATAGTCACCTTTTAATTACGGCAAGCGTGGGTTGCTGAAGATCAATTCTACCCCGGAACTTCGCGGGTCGGTTCAAAGACTTAGACAGACTCACGATTATAAGAACGTTAGGATATGTATGAATAAACATGTGGTACGTAATAAGTTTCGTGAAACTACTTATTCCTATTCATCAGACTGATTTATGATCCCCTTGAGTGCAATGCAGATAATTACTATGCAGACCACTATGGGGACTTCCGACGACAATATATGTGTCGGGAACTTCCCCATCGTCTTTTGATCGTGGCTTTTGGCTGTAATATTGAAGACGCATCCAGTTAAAGAAATGTGGCACGTGTAATCGGTGATGGCTGCGTTGGGGAATCACGACGTCTGGTGGAATAACCTCGCTAGTGCAGGAGACAGTTTCAGGAAGCGACATACTGTAGAGTATGGCGTTCAAGATTCATCCTTTGTATCGTGTTAACCCTTTATCATGTAGTACCATGGACATGTATGGATGTACCGTACTATTTATGGTAGGACACGATGCATGGCTTATATTTCATTATTACAAGTCACTTGATATGATTTGATTTTCATGAAGTTTGTCAAATGAGTTCTGTCGTATTTTGTTGCTTTTGATTGAATTTCTCAAACTTCTTATAAGTTAGGGAACACGAGAACACTATAAATTTACCCACTCATTTGATTGTTATAACATACAGATATATACTTATACTACTACTGCTAAACTTCCGAGCTAAAGAAATTATATGCCCATGTTTGATGGTGGCTACGAATGAAACAAACAAGGGGTCATTCGAGTGAGTGAGTGAGTTGGGTTTAACGCCGCTTTTTAACAATATTCCAGTTATATCACGGCGTGTCAGCTTAATGTGGGAGGAAAGCCCGAAGTGATGCAGGTCTCAGACGTGTACTACTTCGGTGAAACCAACGAGCACGGGTATGGTGCTGACAAAC